GGCCAGTGCAGATAGGCTGTCTGCCTGAGCCCGCCCTAGTCCCTGTCTCTGGACTAAGCCTTGACAAGACTGGTCTGATGGGCATTGAGATCACTCACAGAGTAGTAATGATTTGGCTAATTACTAGAAAGCTCTCCAAGTGTGTCGCCATTGATTAGTGTAAGCTATTCTCTTATAATTATTTTAATCTTTCCTGTACCATAGTTGTGTCTCCTATCTCATTTCCAGTCTTGTATATTTTGAATCCTTCTCTCTTTGCTTTAACCAGGCTCACAAAGACGTCTATTTTGACCAATGGTTTGCAGTAGCCCATTTCTTACCCTCTGCTTTGTCTTGACCAAACTTTTAGAGTTTGGTCTCTAAAGAGAAAGGAAAGAGAAGAGCCAACTAGAATTGGTCAATTGTAACTCAGATTGAAGAACATTGCCTTGGAAGAATTCCTACCAAGCATCTTCAGTCAGCTGCTTTTATCAGGCCTTCCCTGAGGGATCAGTTAAGGAGGGCCTCTAACTCAGGTTAATTACAATCTATTCTAACCCCTAATTTGGCCCAATTGCTACCAAATAAGCAGGACTCTCTAGCCAGTTCTCAAGTACAAGAGCTGAACTTTTGCAGCCTATGCATTAGTAACAAAAATCCCTCCTCATTTGTAAACATTTCCTAAATCTGACCAAGAAGTAATTCACTGAATTGCTAAATATTAGATTTTGAAGGGCACTTGAAAATTATGTAGTCCAGTAGAATAGTTTTACAGTTGGGGAAAATTGTGGCCTCATCTAGAGACATCTAAAAAACCAGAATTTGAGAACAATTTTTATAAAATTTTGCTACAGTCCTGGTGGAAAGGGGTCGGAGGACATGAACAGGTGAAGATGTCTTCTGAGCCCATTAGATCAAATATCATTCATTCAATGAAATAATTATGTTACCACTGGGATTCCTTTATTGAAGGTCTGCAGCCTTTCTGAGATCAGAGGGACAAAGGATTTTGAAGGCTTGAGCCCAGAGAGACAGAGAGGAGAATGCCCAAAGGTTGACTTCACGGTGGCAAGAGACACGGGAGGCTGGGCCTTGTTGCTTGTATTACAGTCTGGGTTAAATATGTCTGTGGGTTCTCCGAATAGAAGGCTATTGTCTCTCTGGCATGAAGAAAGGTCCAAGGGACTTTTCAAGCAAAAATGATCAATAAACTCTCTCTTACTTCAATCTGTATTGGCTTTGACCATGGAGGACAGAAGTCCCTCAGCCCCAACAAAGTCATTTGCCCATTCTTTTAACTCTCCATAAACTGATTAACTGATCTTCAGGAAAACTAGAAAATTGAGCTGCTTGAAGAGATTCTAGAACATTTGATCTCAACAAGTACAAAGCTGAGTCATTTTCTCCAGAATAAAATTTGGCAAAGTGGCATGACCAAACCAATGCTGGAGGAGAAGAGGAAGCTTAGCTGAAACCATGAAGGCAAAGAATGAAAAGGGCAATGGAGAATAGGATAGGAAAAGCAAAGAAGGCATGAAGGAAGAGAAACAGTAACAGAACTGGTGGATTTCCCCCTTATTTTTGTAGGTGATTTGGTGTCCGGGGATAGCACATGGCTGAAATCAATTTATGGATAATGGCATCTCAGGACATGTATTACTGCAAAAAAAAAAAATTCTTTTCTTTCTTCCAAGTAGATGAGCCTGGTAGGACTCACAGTGGCTACCATCAGGGCACAGCCTAAACTATGATTCTCTACAGTGGCTGTCCCCAGGTGATTCTGACATGGCCTTCTCTCCCCGCTCCCCAAACAGTGCTTCCTTTCACTGACAAACCCCCAACACACATGTACACACACACACACACGCACACAATCACAAACCCAGATGGCAGAGAATAGAGGTTTTGAAGACAGAACACAGAGTGATAAAAGTGACCAGTTACCATGTTGTTCATGAAGAAAGTCGAGCCTCACTGTGTTTTAATCATTCAAGGAATGTTTATCATTTATCTACAATATATCAATTTTACAAAAAGGCTGTGCACACCTCAAAATGGAGCTTTTCCTTTTTTCCATACTGTCTGCCACAAAAGTTTCTGCAAACACCCAACAAATACTCTATGGCCAGTTACTTCCATTTGCTATTCTGATCTTATGCTTCCATCTGAAACCCATATAACAGAAAGTTCTCTACAACAAACAGAAGATAGGAGTCCCAAGTTCATTCTACTCTCAACCTAAGATTCATCAAGGGTAGAATTTTTGATGGCTGGCTCTGGTTGGTTCTGTCAGTGGAGCCAGTGACTCTTGAGCTGGGGGTTGTGAGTTTGAGCCCCACATTAGATGGACAGTGATGTAGAGATTACTTAAAAAAATAAAATCTTAAAAAAAAAAGAAAAAAGATTCAACAGGAACAATATGCCACACCTTTCAGTGGTTGGTTTCCCTACCAACCTAAAAACATGCACTATATTGATCTGAATATTTAAAAAAGTAATAGCAATCCATCTGACAAAAAATGTCAATGGCTATTATCCGCAAATCATTCTGCACTCATTGCAGAAGTTTTATTCTATATTGAACCATAAGTTATATGATTATCTACAAGTAAAATAAACTGCTATCAAGAAGCTATTCAAAACAATATATAACTGAGGGCAGCATTTAACTGAGCCCGGATATTGGGAACAGGGGGAGTCACTCTCTTTCTTTTAAAGGATATTAGATTGAACAACTCCTGGATGCCAGGCTCTGAAACTGGCATTTCTGAACATTATGTTTCACTGGAACCTCACCAGATTCTTGAAGCTTTCAGTTTACAAGTGGAAGAAATGGCAAGAACTAATTTGTGAATTTTGGCTCACAAATTTATTATTTCAAATAAAGAGAGTGAGTATTAAGTTTGGAGGATGTCTTAAAACAATGGGGGCCAATATCTACTAAAGAATTCTAATACTTCAGGCAAGAACAGAATTGTATTTTTACATGCAATTAAAAACCTTCAATCTGCTAAACACTGATGTTCTAGAATTTGCAGATCGTAGAATTAGGATGAGTGTGTTTGATAGGTTTACCCATTTAAAAGGAAATGCACATAGACCCATAGAAAGAAAGCATTAAAAATGCATGTAAAGGAGTATTAATGAATAGACGAAAATCCTGTGGTTTACAACTACTTTTATTTATACACTGCCTCATTAGGCAAGGAATTTGAGGTAGTAATGGCCATTTTATTGGTTAAATGCCCTTCCCAGCAGTCCTCTCTGAATACAGAGTATCAGGGAAGCATCTTAAAACTTAATTTTGAAACTGAATTTAAAAAACGAAGAAATAGATGTCAGCATTAAAAATTATATCAAGAAGAAAGCTAATATATATATAATTATATATATATGTATATATGATACAAGATGGAATACCTCAGTTGTCACAAGCTTCTTCAGTGAACACTCAAACTTCCAGCTATCCCAAAACAGAAAATGAGTAAAGGTGCCAACGTGAAAAAGGTACAGCTCACATAACAACTAAAAATACAAATCCCAAACAAAATTTGAAGGCCAAAGATCCTGGTTTTCTTTGTTGTTGTTTTTTTTTTTTTTTTTTTTTCTCATTCTTTCCACTTAAAGCTCTTTCTACCCGGGCTCTGAAATTTCTTGGTTTCATTTGATTTCTTTCACTTAGCTCTGTTCCTTTCTCTAAACCTTCTTTTAGTCAAACATTTCATAAGTTTAAAAGGGAAGAGAAGCCCAATGATTGTTTCTCCTCTTCAGCATTTATATACCATTAATCAGTAGTGCTCAGGCTTCCCTGGTTTCCTACCTCTGGGGAGGGATGAGACAAGATGACCAACATACCTTAATGACTGATGCATTTTTACCTGCCTTAAAAGGGTGTGATGAAAATTACTCCCAGCTTAACAATTTAAGGTTTATAAAGCACCTTGTCCGGAGAGATGGCACCCTACATATGTTAACATACCACTACCATGAAAACAGGACAGGTAAAGGTAAAGGCTAATTCCTTTTAAAATTTTTTATTTATTATTTATCTGAGAGAGAGAGAGAGAGAGAGAGAGAGAGAGAGAATGTGCAGAAGCAAAGGGAAGGAGAGAAAGAAGCAGACACCCCACAGAGTAGAGAGCCCAACTTGGAGCTCCAGCCCAGGACCTGAGCCGAAGGCAGATAGATGCCCAAGCAACTGAGCCACCCAGGTGCCCCTAAAAGCTAATCCCTGAGGAGTTACACAGCAAAGGGAATTATCCCCTATTTAATAATGTGTCCTAATCAAAGGCAGTCCAAGGACAAATTAAGAGAACGTAGAACACTGGATGACAAATGATAGATGATAAAGATTAAAACACACACATAGTTTCTAACAGAGATTGCCAGGATAAAAGTTTTAAATAAGCAAAGCCACTACTTGAGCATAAAGCCAAAGGAGGCCAAGAAATATTTTTAGAAGCATCTAACTTTTTTTAAAAAGACATTCTTTAAAAATTGTGGTAAAAAGGACATAAAATAAAATTTACCATCTCATTTGTAAATGTATGTTCAATAGTGTTAAGTACATTCACATTGTTGTGAAACTAATCTCCAGAACTCTTTTCATCTTGCAAAACTGAAACTATATCCATTAAACAGTTCCCCATTTCCCCTCCACTCAGACACTGGCAACTATTCTATTTTCTGTTTCTGAAATCGACGACACCAGGTACCTCCTATAAGGTGAAGCATACAGGAGTTGTCTCAACAAAACAAAACAAAACCTTTTAAACCAAAGAAACTACTAGCAGAAGCCAACGGAAATAATCTAAAGTACAAAAGGACAGAAAAACAGGAAGCAGAAAGTGAACTGGGGAAGATTCTAGATTTTGGTATATATAAAATGATCCCAGTCATAACATTAGTTATCAGAAGTGGATACGTATCTCTTCTAAATATCTTTTCAACAAAAACAGAAAAAAAAAAAAAACATGGGCAGAAAGTAGACTGGGGAACTCCACATTATAGTATCTACAAAATGACTCCAGCAATAACATTGGTTAGCAGAAGTGGATTCAGATCTCCTTCTCCAGATACCTTTAAAACAAAGATGCAGTCAGCAACATCTCTTAGTTTCTTAAGATTTGATCTCAAAGAAGGAAGTTGGTATCACTATCTCAGGCTCAAATCCAATCAGAAAGAAAAAAAATAGTAATTCAATCAGAAAGAAAAGCATCTTTGTACCATCACACGGGTAACAATCAACTCCCATCTGACACTAAAGCAATCCACCTAAAAATGTTTCCAATCTCTCCAGGATAGTCCCTGCTCAAATAAACATGTTCCTGAGATCTAATAATACACATGTACACATGTATTATATTTAATTTTTTCTTATTTACAGTGAAAATACGAAGATCTCAGAATACAAAAAAAAAAAAACTTCAACACAAACATGCCCTTAGAAATATGCTGATTGAAATAATCATAGAAAAGAACAATTAAGTGAATCTAAAACTAATGCTGATGCTAAAGCTAATTTCAACTTTAAGAACATAATATGAACAAAAGTTACAAGTTTGATGGGAAATTTCCATTCTCATCATATTAAGTATTTTAATTGCATTTGCTAATCTGGGGATGTGTTCTTCAATTGGGAAATCATGAAGCAAAATGAATAGAATTACTCTTACGGAAAAGAATCATAAGTCATCAAAACCTCTGAAAGATTAAAACTGTAATTCTGGGGAAAAAAAAGTTTTTGCTTTACTCCACCTTATTTTTTTCTTGCTATAGTAAATGCCCCGAGGCTCTGACCTAGCTTCGGAAAAAGAGCCAGTAGAGTGGGTTCACAAAAAAGAAATTATCCAATTGCAGATTAGCAAAACTATCACAGGGATTAAGAAGTGACACAGAAAAGGAACACCCTAAAAGTCTGTATATAAGGGCCAAAACGGCAGCTTGCAAATACATTCTTCACTGTCACCTTTCCTATTCACCTGGACAAGCTAAACGTTTGCAGGAGTACCATGTCTTGCTCATCTCGTGTCTCCTCTTCCAGAGCTGGAGGCAGTGGCTTGGCCAGGGTGTCTGCTGGTGGGAGCAGCTTCACCAGTGGAAGCAGATGCGGTGTAGGGAGTGGTTCTACCCGGGGCTTCCGAGGAGGAACTGCCAGCTGTGGCCTCAGTGGGGGATCAAGCAGTGGCTTTGGAGGCAGCTTTGGAGGAGGTTTTGGTAGCTGCTCAGTTGGGGGTGGTTTGGGAGGAACTTCAGGCTCTGGGGCTGGCTTTGGTGGGGGTTCTGGCTTTGGAGGGGGTTCTGGCTTTGGTGGGGGTTCTGGCATTGGAGGGGGTTCTGGTTTTGGTGGTGGTGCTAGTGGAGGCTTCTACAGCTATGGTGGTGGTATGGGGGGTGGTATGGGAGGTGGTATTGGTGATGGGGGGCTTTTCTCTGGAGGTGAGAAGCAAACTATGCAGAACCTCAATGACCGCCTGGCCAGTTACCTAGACAAGGTCAGAGCCCTGGAGGAGGCCAACACTGATCTGGAGAACAAAATCAGGGAGTGGTATGACAAATTTGGGCCTGGGTCTGGAGATGGTGGATCTGGAAAAGACTACAGCAAATACTATCCAATAATTGAAGATCTCCGGAATCAGGTGAGACCCTGACCACTGCTGTGTTTCTACTATTTCTGTGTCTTTTGCTCTTATTCAGATTATATCCTGTAATGAAGATTTCAAGTCCAAGAATTATTCAAAGACATATTTGCTTGTTGCATATGCAAAAATTGGTACTTGGTGTGTTTTAACTATGACAGTATTGTATATGACATCCAACCACACTAATTATCTGTTTGCATCTCAAATTTGAGTATTTCTACATAAGAACAAAATGTATAGAATGCGAAGCAGCTATTTAACATGTACATATACAAATGGTGGCAATGAGTCAACACTAGCCTAATCTAATATTTTTGTGATTAATTCTGGCAGGTTGACATGTTTTAGTGTCTTGCTAGATTTAAATCATCTTTACAACTTTTTCCTCCTTGAAAATCTGGTGCAAATATTGTATGAGCATGCGGCAAAATCTGAAATGTTTATCCACTGTTGTATGGGAAGTATTTTTTTAAAGACTTTTTGAAGTAAAATTCACTTTTTGTTCTACTTTTGGAAAGAACTTCAGAATAACTGTTTCTCCAAAGCAGCAGAAATAAGCAGAGGGGCTGTGTTCTAATAAAACAATGTTCCATGCCTATTTTGGTACATGTGTAAACTGTTACCTTTTTACAGAAAATTGTCATCCAACTACACCAGATTATCAGTAAAGATGTCATTACTAAGCAAGTTTTCAAAACAATTTATTTACCTTTAAAAGCCAACTCGAAGGACATCTACCCTCACAGGTGGGCATGCCAACACAGGTAAAAAGCATCTGTGATTCTGTTATTGCCTTTCTAGATCATTACTGCCACTATTGAAAATGCTGGGATCGTTTTGCAGATCGACAATGCCAGATTGGCTGCTGATGACTTCAGACTCAAGTAAGAAAAGGGAAGACTTGCAAACAAATGTTATGGGGGAAAATAAAATGCAATCTGTCTGTTTCATTGATTCTAAATTTAAAGAAATATCTTTTAGGGCATCAAGGCCTAAACTGACAAACATTCTGAGAGTAAATTTTAAAGACCATCACTCCACTCCAATAAGGAACAAAAAAGAGGCAAATTAAAGATGAAATTTTTGTTACAAAAAAAATGGCCGTCAATAAATTAATATTCAGTTCATAATTTTCTTTCCAGGGGAAAAATTCCTAAGAGAAAACTTAGTAGCCTTCATTTATCAAATAGCTTGGGGTGGAGGGAGGCGGGTAGAGTGTGCCTGGTTGGCTCAGTCAAAGGGGCATGGGACTCTTTGATCATGGGGTTGTGAGTTTGAGCCCCGAGTTGGGTGTAGAGATTACTCAAATAATAAGCAAATAGCTCAGGGAAAAATCTTTTTCTTGAATATAAGAATGGATGTACTCTGAAATGCTCTATCCTGTCCTACTGCTGTCCTTTCCAGGTATGAGAATGAGCTGTATCTCCGGCAGGCCGTGGAGGCCGACATCAATGGCCTGCGGAAAGTTCTAGATGATCTGACCATGACGCGCTCAGACCTGGAGATGCAGATTGAGAGCCTCACCGAGGAGCTGGCCTACCTGAAGAAGAACCATGAGGAGGTAGGAACACGTTCCACATTATTAAACTACTCTGGCCTGCATATTTTCCCCCACATCCATTCTGTAAAAATAAACTAAGTTCTATCTAATGGATTTCCAACTCCTATGACCAAGGAAAAAATTAGTCATGAGCAAATTATATCTGAATTTGGTGGCAAGTGGGGGTAGCCTTTGGTGTCCTAGTTTCCATTTTTTGTTGGCTATGCACATTTTAAGAATCTCTGCTTTTCTGTTTTTATCATTGTGGTCTTTTTTCCTTCACACTAGGAAATGAAGAGTATGCAAGGAAGCTCCGGAGGGGACGTGACTGTGGAAATGAATGCTGCCCCGGGAACTGACCTGACCAAGTTACTGAATGACATGAGGGCACAGTATGAAGAGCTGGCTGAACAAAATCGCCGCGAGGCCGAGGAGCAGTTCAACAAACAGGTAGATTCTCACTGCTGGGTGCCTGAGCTGGCAGTCACGCACAAGCCACTTCATCTCATTTCTTCAGGCTGCAATGACTGCATTTTGTTTTTATCTAGAGTGCATCACTGCAAGCACAAATTTCTACTGATGCTGGGGCAGCCAGTTCTGCCAAGAATGAGATAACAGAACTGAAACGTACTCTGCAAGCCCTGGAAATTGAGCTTCAGTCCCAAATGGCCATGGTAAGTGCAAAGAGGTTGGCAAAATCTCCAACAGGGAGTTACGCGATACCATTTTCTTTCTTTGCCAAGATGTTCCACTTGGCACATAATAAAAGCAGCATTAGGAGAACTCGCTTGCGGTTGTAGAAAGCATAAAACATTCCAGTTAAAGATAATATACTTTCATAAAAGATTTAGCTTAAAGAAAAACAGTTATGCCCACAAAAATTGAGGAACCAATGACAGAACAACATAGGCTGCAACTTGAAAGTGTGAAAGTGTAGTTCTCTTAGCACATTATAAGATTTTGTGTTTTAAAAAAATTAATTTTTCACCATGAATTTTTTGATTTGCTTTTTCTCTTAGAAAAGTTCCCTGGAAGCAACTCTGGCTGACACAGAAGCTGGCTACATGGCTCAGCTGTCAGAAATCCAGATGCAGATCAGCAGCCTGGAGGAGCAGATCTGCCAGATTCGGGGCGAGACCGAATGCCAGAATGCGGAATATGAGCAACTGCTGGACATCAAGACCCGCCTAGAGATGGAGATTGAGACCTACCGCCGCCTGCTTGATGGAGAGGGATGGTAAATGAAAGTCATCAACCCACTCAATGCATTCCTTTGGTGTACTTATATTTTGAAACCAGAAAGGGGTTTGGGGGCTGGACTTGGTTTAAAAAGTCACAGTGGGGCACCCAGTGGCTCAGTTGGTTAAGCATCTGACTCTTGCTCTCAGCTCAGGTCTTGATCTCAGGGTCATGAATTCAAGCCGTGTTGGGCTCCATGCCCAACTTTAATAATAATAATAATAATAATAATAATAATAAAAAGTCACAAAGACAATCTAATCAAAAGACATTTACCTTTATCATGGAGAGCTCCCCCACCTCCCCCACCCCCCCACACCCCCCTGCATGGAGGGTTTCTCCCACCTTTGCAAACTACAAAGGAAAACAATTCTTTTTTCCTCTAGTGGTTCTGGTTTTGGAGGATCTGATTTTAGAAACTCTGGATCCAGAAATACAGGATCCAGAAACATGGGATCTAGGGATATGTCCATGTCTGGTGACTCAAGATCCGGAAGCTGTTCTGTCCAAGGAAGAGGTAAACATTATTTAATGTTCATGATCATTTTATAATTTAAAAGTAAAGGCAAACTGTGCTTGTCTTATAAAAAGTATATACTGGGAATCCCTGGGTGGCTCAGTGGTTTAGCGCCTGCCTTCGGCCCAGGGCGTGATCCTAGAGACCCAGGATTGAGTCCCACATCAGGCTCCCTGCATGGAGCCTGCTTCTCCCTCTGCCTCTGTGTGTGTGTGTGTGTGTGTGTGTGTGTGTCTTTCATGAATAAATTTTTTTAAAAGTATATACTATTGTTTACAAAATCTTAACCCAGAGAGAACATACTTAAAGAATGCACTTGAATTTCTCTTGATCTGGGCTTCTGTGATTGTTTCCAGACTGACATCGTAATTCTGTGATTTTCAGATCCAAACAAGACAAGAGTAACGAAGACCATCGTGGAGGAGGTAGTGGACGGCAAAGTCATCTCATCTCAAGTCAGCAATGTGTCTGAGGTGAAAGTTAAATAAGCAATTTCCAGATCAGCAAGAGTGTCTTTCAGAGAAAAACCAGAAGGACACAAATGAAGAAATCATATCAATCTCACCATCTTTCTGGATAACATCAGGGAAAAGTTTCCATCCAGAAGTAGATAACCAAGCAATTTTTCTGCATCCTCTTCTTTTTTCTTACTAGAATGCTCTTGAAAAAGTTGAAATGACAATTTTGCTCTAATTGTTTTTCATGCTTCAATAAACTTACTTTTGCAAGTTAACTAAATGTTTCCTGAATTTTTTAAAGAAATTCAATATTTTACCTAGAAATAAAGCTACCAGTCACGATACCTTGCTTCATTGTTATGTTACTCATATTGATTATTTATATAGTGCCCTAGCCATTTGATATGTGGAGATTTCTAGCAACATCCCAGTGGAACTCAGTGATAGCTGAAATTAGACCTTAGCGTCCCTAAAAAAGTCATGGGAAATAAGATGGGATATGTGATATGGTGTCAAATTTCTGAAAACCTTGGAAGCCCCAAAGAGAAAAGATCTCAGACACTCGTACCCTTACAAAATCTAGCCACAACTCTAGTCAAGAAATGTCACTTAGCCAATCTGGCGTTTCCTTTTCCCACTCTCCATTGCTGAAGTTCTTACTCCCTGAGTGGTCCACATGGCTTCATCTTGTCTTGCTTGGGATAATGAAGACTATTAAAGTAGGGTAGGAAGTGGTGCAGGGTCAGTCCCAGAAAGAACCAGACACAGGACAAAGCCAAACAGAGTAAGGACTTTCCCACTCAAGGAATTTAATAGGACCAGATCACAAATTAGAGAACTGATGCCACAAACCAGCCCTCAAGAAACTTGAGGGCTTGAGACTTGGCACAAAAAATCCAAATTTGAAATTACAAAGGATAAACCTGAACATAATTTATACAAATTATACCTTCAAATATAAAACCAGTAAGAGCTGTATGAGAGTATCAAACTTTGATAATCAAAAACAACCCAAAAATGTAGCTTCTCATTTGTGAGGCATATTGAATTAAAACATAAAAATGAACTTGGGGGCACACTGAGACTTTTGCTTAAATAGATAACCACAGAACACAGTTAATAGCTAAGCACAAAACCACTATTCAAAAGCAACGTTGTCTTAAGTCAAACATATGTTTCCCATCATGCCATTACAGTAAGTTAAGCCTTGGATATTTTTCCTCTACTAAAAAGTTCAGAAATATGAACCAGCTGATCTAGCCTGGAGTATTGGTGGGAGGACAGAAATGGAAACCAGTTGTGTGCAGGATCCAGTTCCTTGGGTCATCGCAGCCACATCGATGAAGCCTCTCTCCATGAGTCTTCCCAGATACAATCTTCTAGTCCTGTATCACCTAGTACCTACATTGATGGCTAGTATTATCCTCCTGTCAAAGCAACAATATGCAACTACTCTGAAAATCATCTTTAGTTGAAAACCCTCATTGTGTGTTTCCTTGGAATGTGTTAAGATGCTACATTTGTACTAAATGATCATTTATAGAAAAGGCCAGAACATACTGAGATGAAGTAGGGTATGTTTCAAGCATTTCAATTTTTAAAACTGAAATTACTGAATGATTTGGGTTTTCTTTTCTTTTTTTTTTTTTTAGGATTTTATTTATTTATTTGACAGAGAGAGAGAGAGCACAAGTAGGCAGAGCAGCAGACAGAGAGAGAGGGAGAGAGCTCTCTCAGCAGAGAACCCAAATTGGGGCTCAATCCCAGGACTCTGGGATCATGACCTGAGCCAAAGGCAGCCTCTTAACCAATTGAGCCACGCAGGTGCCCCTACTGAACCATTTTGGATCATGAAATTCACTGAGAATACTGAGTAAAAAGTTAAGGATAGTATTTTCACACCTTGTGACCTGCTCTAAAATTACTTCAAAACCACTTGACATAAAACTGCATATGCTTTATTCTGGAACTCTAAAGTTCAGCAATCCATCAACTTTAACATAAGAGTGGACTTACTCATGAGAAGGAAGAGCCAGTGCTTGTTGACTTTTCAACCAGAGATTCGTATGGATATTCCTGTCATACTGAACTCAAGGGACAATGGACAAGAACGGACATGGTATCTGTCCTCACAAAGATTAGAAGCAAGAAATAGGGTTTGTAGTAGGCAGAGAAGAGGAAAAAGCCAAAGGATTTAAGGCTCCATGGAAAGTAGCCTAAACTTGCTTAATGACTTCATGGAATTAGACTCTGTTCAAAAGACCTACAAGAGAGGACAAACTGATGAATATAAATCGCTCAGAATGTAGTTCAAGTAATATTTTCCAAGTAACCTCCTCAATTAACAAAATACCACTGCATGTAATACACTTTAAAAAATTATCGGTGGCTCATATGGGACACTTGAAAAATATTGGTCAAGCCCTTTTGAAAACAATTTACTCATTTGTAATATCAGTGACAATATGAAATGGTAAGGTAGACAAGAGCAAACACTGAGATAACACTCCAACCAATTTTTTATACTAACACTTAAATGGCATATAGAGGACAAGCCCAGAATGTATCACTGATGTACCATGTGTAAAGTACATTGGTTCCTGTGGAGTGGGGCTGGAGCAGGGGAGTGTTTATTTTATTAACTGAATCATAAGGAACCTGAAAGCTCATTAAAACTGCAATAGGACTGCATCATGCGGCTCCAGCTTGCTTCTTACTGACACTAGAGCTGGGTAGTGTTTCACAATATCACAACCTCTGTCAACTCATTCTAACACCTTAACCTTAGAAACATGCACTGTCTTTAGCTTTATTCACTGCTTGCAGCAAGCTGTAAAATAAATTACTTCAAATGATTTTATATTAGTTTGCCTAAGACCAAGAAGTCAGATTTTTAAAGCTCCATGATGATTTTTATGCAAACAATGGCTTTGTGGCACCATTTCAAGATAAGGTAATTGTGCTTTCCCCACTGAATTTTCCACATCCAAAAGTTTCCAGGAAGATCCAATATTAATGCTTGTGATTTCTATGGCAATAATAACATAAAAATCACGATTTTTTCAAACTTTTATTTTTAAGATTTTATTTTTAAGTAATCGCTACACCTAATGTGAGACTTGAACCTACATCCCCGAGATCAAGTGCCACATGTGCTACCAACTCAGTCAGCCAGGCACCCCCACAGAGTTTTAAAAAGTTGACTGGTGGGGCACCTGAGTGGTGGAGTTGGTTGGGACCCGACTCTTGCTTTTGGCTGGGGTCAAGTTCTCCTGGTTGTGAGATCAAGTCCTGAGTTGGGCTCCGTGCTCACTATGGGTTCACTTGAAATTCTCTCTCCTTTTCCCTCTGCTCCTTCTGCTTGTGTGCTCACTCTCACCCTCTCTCTCTCTTCCTCTCTCTCATTTATTTATTCAATAAATGAATAAATCTTAATAATAATAATAATAATAATAATTTAAAAAGTTGACTGGTGACTTTTATTCCAATCTCCTACCCAGAATAGAAATCTTTCCTACAAGATTATTCAAGGCCTCCAGTCTCTGGCTAAAGGTGTCCAGAGCTGCAAAGTTCACAACTTGGTAAGACAGATCATTTGATTAAGAACAGGTGTAAAGTTAAAAGTGGTTTTCTTATATGGAGCCAGATCTGTCTCCCTGTGTAACTTTCAACAATTTGATCCTTTGGAGCTATTTTTAAATGGCCAATGTGTCTTTTCTTTTCTAAACAAAAATCCCAATTTCTTTACCCGTGCCTCATCTGACATTGTTTCCATATTCTCCATTAACAGGACCATACGTGTTGGATATTACAGACATATTTGCAATTAAATAGTCCTATTAAACTATGGCACCCAGAATAAACAGAAAGATCAAGAGCAGTGGGAGAATAGCCTCTGGGCTTTATAAATCTTTTGAGATAGTCTAACTTCTGCGGCCACAGCATAGTCACAGCTATTGAGCTGGAACGTTTACAGAAAAACTTTATCTTTCACCTGATGTTTTATTCCCCCTTTCTTTTTTAACTCTTGGAACATCCTTCTTTTAATTCTATTTACTTTACAAAATCTTAACCAATTTAGGGTCATCATTTTACCCTGAAAGTTTTTTAAATATATTTTGATTCTCTCATTCAACATATTAAATATGTTTGTATCTTCTAGAAAAAAAATGCAACAAAACCTAAAATGCAAGCAGTATCACACCAAAATCCCCCACCTGCCAATAACAAATATCAGCTTGACATAAATGTTTACTAAGTAAGCCATTTGAATGTTTTATTCTGTGTTAAATAGTTTCAATGTTAACAAAAGTTTTAAGAAATGTTCACTTGGTGAGTAGAGTGAAGACATACGAACAGGTTCAGAGTCCCCTTCAGTAGAATGAAGCAAAGGCCATGCAGGGAAAGAACATCAAGTGACATGCAATTTATTTACCATAATATGTCATCTCTCTAGTGTGATGGCTTTAATTAAAGATGATGGATGATAGATGATGATGATGATAGATAGATAGATAGATAGATAGATAGATAGATAGATAGATGATAGATTTATTTCACTGCCTCTGACAGCACACATAATAAAGAAGAATGTGTTTTGTAATATGGAAATCACGGGGGGAGTTCCCATTATAAAAAGGCATCTGGAGAGAAGAAGTAGGGTATGTTATGGTTATAATATTTCCAAATTTAAGTAATCTGCTGCAATTCAAAATCTGCATATGTTGAATTTCCTTGCAGAAGGAGCAAGGGGCACATGCCACAGCAGGGGCTTACAAGAACCCGGAGAAACTTAAAAGTCTGCTATTTAATAGTAAATCAAAACATTATAGTGTATCTTTCTCCTTTTCTCTTTAACTTTCTTAGAGGTCCTAACCTTTCATAAAAATAAGAATATACAGTTAGATGTTATTAATCAATTCAAAAGCCCAATGCAGGCTTTGAGAAAAATTTAAAAATTAAAATTTGCAGTTGACAAAAGCAAGAAAAAAGAAACAGCAGAATATTAAAAGGAATCAGACCATTTTTTCTTCCTACATTTTATTCTTATTTAAGACAGGATATATAATGTAAGGATCTACCACTCTCTGTTACTTCATCAGAAATCCCTAAAGCTGGTTTCAGATAGCTGAAGAGATGGCATGTTTATCACATAATTCCAAAGGAAAAT